CACCATTTAAAGGTTCAGATACACAAAAAGCTATACATGGATACATACAGCTAGAGATAGATCTTCGTCATTTCCACTGCGATGCAAGAAGCATGGAAGACAGGGTCGGTAGTACAACGGTAGTGAAGACAGAGGTGGCAAACTCGGTAGTGCAGCAGCGTAGGTGGGGCTGGTGCGATGGTTGAAGTGACCGAGAGGAATGGTTGATTGTGATATTGTTCGACGGAGGTGCACTGCTAGAAAAGGAGGAGTTAAAAAAGAAGGAGCTTAAAGGAAAAGAACCAAATGGTTTTGTAAGTTATAGTAACTGTACGGTGCTCTTTTTATATTGTGTGATTGGTATTAGTATATGTGTATTTATTTTTGATTGGTTATTTCTTGTTCACAAGGATTATGATTATAGACCATTAGATGTAAAATAAAAGGCTAAGATTTAAGTTCCTTGTTTTAAGACTTTGGTCTTAAAACCTTTGGTCTACCTATTATATATACATTATAAAGTAGTATATATATAAGATTTAAAGGGTTTAGAACTAATAACTCGCTTTATTTTCTTTTCCTTGTTTGGATGTGGGTTTGGGATATAGTTATTTGTTCGAATGTTGTTTAAATTTTAGTTATATATATATATATATATATATATATATATATATATATATATATATATATATATATATATAAATATAAAAGTTGTTTCATTCAGTTTCAACACCCTTTGTAACATGTCGAGCAAATGAGTGTATTCATGAACAGTTCGTACTAATACAGAACGTACATATAAATTATAATAGGTATAATTTATGATTCAAGAACGCTATTTTACTAAGTCAAATATACAAGTTACACTACTTTATCCAGACAAATATACAATACAAAACTAAACACACATGTATGATTCACGTACATATACTTTACATTCCAAGTATACTAAGAATGGAACGTACTATCAATTCATTTATTTACAACAAGATATGAATAATACTTTTAGTATATGGATAATATATTAAAGGAGTACAAATACAAAATATTGGGGTACAAATACAAAGTACCGGGGTACATCTACAAAGTATCGGGTTATATATGGGGTACATCTACAAAGTATCGGGATACATCTACAAAGTATCGGGTTATATATGGGGTACAATTACAAAGTACCGGGGTACATCTGTAAAGTACCGGGTTTTATTAAAAATGGTACATCTACAAAGTACCGGTTTATAACAAATAAAACATAACAATATATAAAACAATCTTCTTATAGTCTTATTGTGAACTAAAACTATGTTATACTATTTTATAAGTACAATGACACTTACACCGAATGGTTTTATGAAATTAAAACTACTTTTCAGTTATATCAGAAAATATAGGATTTTCTGGAACAGTAAACATACTCAAGGAACAGAAAACAAACTTTAAACATAAATACTTATGCACTCACTCAACTTTTTATGTTGATACTTTTATTTTCAAAATACTTGTATTCTCAGGGAACCAGTAGACAGGTACATCCTCAGAGTTTTTGGAGAAGACGCAACAGTATAGAGTCATGTCTTCTATCTTTTGGTTATATAACTCTTGGTGTCAATATACAATGTTTGAATACTCATGTAAGAACTTATACTTATTAATGCAATGGTTGTTATACTTTGATTACTATGATGCATGTGTTTTGATACTTAAACATGAAGTCATCCACCCCCGAACGTTTCCGCCGTCAGATTTGGAGGTGTGACAGAAGAAAAAAAAGAAAAAAAATCAATTAAACCCAACGTTGGGTGTGGGTGTACCAACCCACTAGTTGGGAGCATATGTAACCCACATGTCATCCGTATATCAATTTTTCAAGATTTTTTTTATTTTTATAGATAAAAGATGCTAGTATTATCTAATAAGATTTTATAATTATTTTATCTAATAAAAATTCATAAAAAAAAATTCTCTATAAATAGAGTATAATATTGACATACTTCAACGTCCAATCCCAATTCTCTATTTTTAATCTCTTTTGAATTTATATTTTTTCAATGTATAATTCGTATCCATACTATAAATGTAAAATATTTTTATTCAATTTTATATTTAAAATAAATAATTTATGTATTTCAAAATAAATAAATTATTTTTATTTTTTCTAATAAATTTTAGTAAAATAAAAATATTTTCATAAGTATATTTGTTTAATAAAAAGTTGGTTTGAGTTGGGTTGTTAATGGGTGTGAAAAGTTGGGTGTAGTGGATTGTGTAGGTGGAAGAGAGAGAAATTTATTTTTTAATGGATAGTTGAGTTGGTTTTGGTTATGAATGAGAGTAGTCTTATAACATCAAAATGGCAACGGAAGCATAAAACAAAATTAGCCACACCATAATCTTACAAGATCACAAGTTCATTCTTTTCTTGCAGTAAAACTAAATTCTAGATGTATAGTAAAAGAATACATTTGTTTTGACAGTTCTTGTTGTAACTTGGATGGATGGAAAGTCGAAAGTAGTACCCTTCTAATGTAGTCGCACCCCAAAGTGATGATTGAAACTAAAATTGACTTCCTGGTGGCTAACAGTCCAAAACCCAAACCCTAAAGTGGGAGAGAGATTGTCTAGAGAGGGAAAAATCATAAATGATAGAGTCGAGGATTGTGTAATCGACTAAGGTTATTATAACCTCTTATTTTAAACTAGGTGAATATTATCCCTATTTTTTATGGGATACCTATCCATGACTTGAATTTCAAGATATTTCAAATTAAACCATGAATTTTATTAGCTTCTAATATATGATGAGTTAATAAACTATTCCCGCATATTTCTTTTTTGTCATTTTATGTTAGGTGTAATCTAAAAGGCCCCTACTAATTATAGAAATGTCACTAACTTGTTGGTGACTATAGACATATTTCCAACATTGGGATATATTCTAAACCATGTATTGAACTTTTAATGTAGTTTTGATCGTTAGGATTAATGGTGAATCCATAATTCAAATTCATGGTCGTTTGGATAACTTTTTGTCCTTTTTATCATTGTCTTATTTACCCATGAAGGACTCTCCTATGTCCTCATTATATCTCGCATCACATTTTGTTTATTATAAACAAAACTTAAAAAAGAACACACAATTTTAAAGAATAAGATAACTAGCTACAAATTATTATTTTTTAACACGCAGATTAACTAATATTAACTACGTCTACCAGACCACCACTACAAAGTTGATGTATTATATTGGGCTGAAGATACATAACTTCAAGAGTTTAACAATCATTTTAAAAAGTAATATACTTCTATATATCTATGTTTTTTTACATCCAATTAAGTCTTATTAAACATATAAAACAGATGAAGTACTTAAATGGCTAATTTTTATCTTAATGAATTCCAAAACATGATATTCAAGAACTTGGAGCAAATCTTCAAAGTTGTATTACAGATTTACATGCAGATGCAAGGTCAGATCTTGAAGGAAATTGAAAGCTTGGTAAAGATGATTGTCAAAAATATGGTCGTAAGAAACAAAGATACATTATACCAAATAATATATTTCTACTAAAAACATCATTGATTTGCATGTTGCAACATTTACCATGGGGAGAGCATTTTTAGCAAAGAGGTTGATAAAGAAACATTTGGCCCAATAAGATGGGTGATTAATTTATTATTGATTAGGGATGTTTACGATTTTAATAAAACCAAATTATCTTGTTTGGAAAATTCGAATTAGATTATAATATATGGTTGGTATATTCAGATTTTTGAATTGGTTTAAAATAAAACCGATTTATTATTTTGTATTTCGGATTAGTTTTGGTTTTATAAATAAAAATTGAACAACACAAAATAACCAAATATTATTTATTTATAATCTTAATTTCAATACATATCTCTAATTATTTATTTATTTATTAAGTTGTTTTTTAAACGAAATAAAATATCACCCAATAAAAACATTAATATGTACTCATTCTCAAACATGTGTTTATATGTATAATACCAAAAAAAATACTTTTCTTAATAATTGTTTATAAACTCCATTTGGTTTAAAGTTGGTTAAATTCAAGTTATATATTTTTTAGACGACTTGTCTCTTAAAAGCCGAATTAGAAAAAACTGATGCAACTACATTATAATTTGGTTGGTTTAGATCAGATTCGAACTATTAAAATCCATGTTTTGAAAATCAAAATCAAATTGAATTCATTTCATTGGATCGAACCGATCCATCCAAACACCAATCAATCCAAACGAACATCCCAAATAATGATTGTCTAGTGTCATATAGTGATAAACTGTTATAAAACATCGACTCGTATTTTTATATTACGTTTAATTTATGGTATTAAAACAATACTTGTCTTAGAAGAAATTATTAACAAGTCAGGCCTAATAACCGGATTTTTTGACCCGTGTATTTTGTCTCCTCAATTTAGTTAGTCATACGTATGTTAAAGGAATATAGATATTTTTAGATAAGAATAACCAAAATGACATTTTTCTGAGCAGTTTTTCAGAAGGTGTCACCTTCTGGAAAATGCAGAAGTCCAACCTCTTGAAAGGTTCATAGGTAGATGAAATCAAAATTTACTTTGTTACTCATGCCATTATTCTTAAAGACTTTTCATATATTATTAAAACTACATGTATATTTCTATTTCTATTTCCATTTCAACCAAAAAAAAAAAAAAACATACTAACAACACAATAACACAATATTTCAGTTTTACAACAGAAAAAACAAAAACTACCACCACCTATACAAATACATTATACATTATACATTATACATATACCCATATTATATTTATAGTTTACCACCATTTTCATGAAACCCTAGAGGGAAGGTGGTTTAAGCCAGTTCACAACTAATCACAACCACCACCACCACCCACCAGTGGTGGCAGGTAGACGGGTTTCCTATTTCCTAGAAAAGATAGAAACTATGTACAACAATACCCCTTTTTCTCTATATTCTTTAAAAGAAACCCACCATATGAACAAAATATTGATCATGGAGAAAGATGAGAATTATCATCTGAATTAAAAGTGAAAATATCAAGAGGAGCAGTAGTGTCACCAGTAATATCATCATGAGAATGAGATTTACCCCTACCTCCATCAAGGTAAATCACCACCACTGTAATATCATCATGAAAATGTCGCCTCACACCCTTTTCAATTCTCTTTATATCATCATATCTCATTTCTCTTTTCCTTGCTGCCACCTCTATTGCAGCTCTTATTAATCTCTTTGCTATCCCCTGAAACAAAAATCAAAAACATTACTTCATATAAATAAATATTCTCTATTCAAGAAAAAACATGATGAAGAGAGTAAATTATTTACGTTTCTGGGATTCTTATGAACAATTTCAACCGCATCTTCATCACTGAGTTGTTCCCATAAACCATCTGAAGCAAAAATCAAGAACAGATCTTGTGGCCTTAGCTTTCGAGTTATTATCGATGGCTCTGCTGACATTACAGCTCTTTTTAAAGGGAAAGGGGATGCATACTGCTGGAAGAGAGGGTTTCTGTTATACTCTGGTTTCTTCAGGTATACATCTCCGATTGATCTTGACACCTGATCATAATAGAGTAAGAGATGTGTAAAGATATAAAAATTTGGTATACAATTGGGTGAAATAGTACACCTGGATAATGCCTTTTATCCTCCAGACACCATGAGTGTACACTACAATGTGTGCATCATCAGGATGAAGGGCTTTGACCTCTTTTCTGACCTCTTCAACCCCAACATTATGGTCGGTTGATAGCCTTTCTGCCACCACAGTTGAAGAATGAACCATCCTGCCACCACCGGAAGCTTCCCGGCCAAGCACAGCCCTGGAGTCCCCAAGGTTTGCCACAAAAAGAGTACCATTTGAGATCACACCAACAAGACAGCATGAACCTACTGAGACAATTTGTGGTCTATCAAGCCACGATTCTTTCACTAAATGCAAAAATTCAGTTTCGGTTGCATCAAATGCCTTGGCTATCACATCCTTGGATAATCCTCCACGTTCATCAGCAAATTCTGAGATATTTACATGGATCAAATCAAATAATGATACGAACAAGAGCTGATTTGAAACCTTAGAAAGTGTTCGATTTGCTTGTTTTCTGAACCAATTTTTGCTTATCGGATAGTTGGTTCAATTTCAAGCAATCGGATCAGATTCAGAATGATGAAGTTTTTAGCTTAAACATATCCAGCTGTTTTCTAGTGACATCTCTCACTTTTATTTACAGCTTTGAGTAAAATTTTCCAATACAAAAATCATTCTATCGACGAAAAGTGGAAGAAAATTAGGGTTTTCGGATGCTACTTACTCTCGAGGTAACGGAAGAGGTGAGTGTTGATGAATCTAGAGGCTTCGGGACCACCGTGACCATCGTAGACTCCGATGTAAGTCGCGGATGGTGAAGTTAACACTTGACCTTGGTCTTCGAGCAATGAATTGGCCTGAACAACTGCAACGGAGTATTCACCGGATGCGTGTGGCTTCAAGTCCATGTTCCATAAAAGTCCGTCGCCACCACCACCGCCGAAACACCGTTCCAGCGGCTTGTAACACGACTCCAACATCGTAACTCAACCACCTTTCGCCTTCTCTCTGAAGCACTGAACACGCGTTTACGCAATCCGCAGAGTGAGAGAGAAGATTGACGAATGTCGTTGTAGTTGTTTGTTGGTTGGATTTCGATTATTATTTTTTCTGCAACGTAAAAGGACCTAAAAGAAGAAAAGTGTGAACTTGGAGAGAAGAAAACGAGTGGAATTTTTTATTAGTCTTTTTCTTTATATAATTATAAACTATTCATAGTAAATTACATTTTTGGCCCTTGAATGTTCCAATGGGCTATTTTTTGTCAAAATTTTGATTCCAAAAAAGTCCTTTTGATTGTCTAAGGTTTTTCAAAAGCGTTTGTACTTTGTGGTTCATGTTTGATAAAATAATTATATTTTTAAGACTAAAAAGATAAAAATCAGTTATGTTTCTAGACCAATTATTATAATAAAAACTCTTTTTCTTAGGACAAAAATGTAATTTACTAAAATATTCAAGAAGAAAAAGGAAAAGAAAAAATGAAGGTGGAGTGATAAGTGGGGGAAATTGAAAATTGGACCCGTGTTTAACGGGACAAAAAACAATTGATCCGTGGAATTCAACGCAAGCGGTTGGGCCGGCTTTGACGTTGACCCATGTAGAAAAACCTTCTTTTTGTCATTAACCCGAAACTAATTTACATTTTCCATCATTTAAATTAAATCCCACAAAAGTCACGTTTAGGGTGTTCAAAGTTTGATTAAATTCGTTAAATTAAATTAATTTGATTGATGTGGTTTGAGAAATATGAAATGTATTTTTGGCCTTGTCTCTCTGGATTGATTCATTGTATATAATATTTGAATCATAGGGGTAATTTAGTCACTTTCGGTTATTATTTGTAAGGTTCGTCTAAATAACCTAATACATTTGCAAGTTTGTGATTATGTAGTTAAAACTTTTTATGAATGTCTACGAATTACTTATTCCTCTTCCCTTTTGGTTTATGATTAAATATAATAAAAGACAGAATTATGTGTGGTGGAACTTATTTTTTATTTTAAAACAAAATATTGGTATATATAATATAACTTGCTAAAATCATAATCTTTTAATATTTGTATGTTTGTAGGTACAAAACGGATTCTGCAAAGATACTCGTCCCATGTCAAACGAGTGTCGATATCAAAGACCCCTTCCAAGATTCAATCAAAGCCTTTGAATTCTTCCCTTTCACTTAGGACTCTTTATGTTTTAAAATAATATGTAATTAATATCAATCATATAAATTTTTTAGGGTTAATTTCATAAAATGATTTAATTCTATGTTTTAAGTTATATATCTTTGTAAATATATGTGGAACCCAAAATTATCTCTCCAAAAGAGCATTTGTGGAGAGAATAGAGACTACAACATATATAGTCACTTATATTACCGTGGCACACTCAGATTTAGAGGCTCAATGATGATAGACAAGGATGTGCTGAGCCATGGGGGTGCGGGACACCGACTCTGATACCATGTAAATATATATGGAGCCTAAGATTATCTCTTCAAAAAAGTCGTTGTGGAGAGAAGGGGACTCCAACATATATATAATCTCTTATATTATCGTGTCGCACCGATGTGGGATACACTAACAATCTTATTATTATATTAATAGACCAATAATTTTTTTTTAGATTCACACTAGACTATTTCAACGATGGCCAATGAAGTGGTAGACTAGTATAAGAAAAAAACAAAAAGAAAAATCATTTCAAGGTAGACTTCAAGAAAACTTATGACTTATTGGCTCGGAAGTATTAAGATCATATTATAACTTTTATAGGATTCAACAACATTGGACGTGAGCGGTGAGGGTGTGTCTTGCTTCATCTCGATCTTCGGTTTTGGTGAATGGGAACCCAACCTCTAAGTTTCAACTTCATAGAGGTTAGAAACAAGGAGATTTATTGTCTCTCTTTTTTTTGTTGATGGAGAACATGCATGTTGCCATTTAAGACGTGGCATTCAATGATTTGTACATATGAGCAATTATAAGAAATGGAGGCATGGGGGTGTTTGAGTGGGATATTGAGAATGTCAAGAACATTGTATGTATTATGTTGTTTTTACTTTACATCGGATTTGAGGATTAACTTGTATAAGCCGAACTTGTATAATATGTGTGTTAATTCGATTAAAGTTGAGCATCTTGCGTAGAGCACTGGTTATTGCATGGTGTCTTTTTCATTTATGTGTATTGGTCTTCCTATCGGTTCTAACATGACATGAAAGAAAGTTTGGATGATGATATTTGATATAATTAAGAGCAAGTTGTCAAAGCCGAAAGAGAAGATGTTGTCTATTAGGAGTCGATCTACCATTTTGAAGTTTGTCATTGATAGTCTTGCTATACATTATATGTCCATTTTTACTCTTCCATAAATCATTTGTCACTTTTTGGAGAGCGTTAGATCTATTTTTTCCTAGGGATGTGAAATTCATGAAAGAAATATTACATGGGTTAAATGGGAAATTGTTTTGGAATCTAATGAAAATGGTGGTATCTGTGTTGGAAGCTTTTTTTACGTTCAACTACGCTTTTACATAGTTGATGTGACGTTTTGTTAACGATTCAAATTCTTTATGGGTTAAAGTTGTTATATTTATTCATGGTGATGAGGGAGGTTGTAACGCCCCATTTCTGGTATGTGATTTAATTAAAGTAGTTTTCATTTCTTAAAGGGGTACTCGACGAGTCTGTAGCCCGACTCGTCGAGTAGAGACGGGATTTGCACGCGGTTTAAGTTGGCAACTCGACGAGTCCATATCCTCGGACTCGGCGAGTCTGCCTGTCTGGATGAAGCCCTAATTTCAAGGGTTTGTACCCTATTTAAACGTCATTATAGCCTCCCACCCCAGCCTCCAGCACCTTTAGAGCATTTCCCATGTAAACCCTAGCCCCCATTGTTGAGCTTGAGTGTGTTTGTGCTAGTTTGGAAGCTTTGGAAGAGAAGGAAGGAAAGAAGGTCCATAGAAGAGAAAGGAGATCCAAGAGTTAGCTTCCATCTGTTTCTCATTCAGGTAATAAAGTTATTACCTTGTGTATTCCTCCATTAAACCCTCTTTTATGCTTGTTATGCTTCTTTTGGAGCCTTATATGATTCAAAACTTGAGATATGGACTCTCCTTTGGATGGAAACCTTAGATCTGGACGTTATTGAACTCCAGGAACTCATTATAGCCACCTTTATGCAATCATGGCCTTGTTCCAAACCCTAAGTGCTTAGTATTTGATGATTTTGGGTATTTTAGCCTTATACTCTTGTGCATGCACGTAAAGTTGGAAACTTTACGTGTAAAACCAATCCTAGAAGCTCAGATCTATGATTTGGAAGCACTGAAGTCGATTAGAATCGACTGTATAGTAATAGCATGCTTGGGACTCGGCGAGTTGTTCTTCAACTCGGCAAGTTGTTCTTCAGACTCGACGAGTTGTTCATACGACTCGGCGAGCCACAGACTGGACGTGTTCATATGACGAAGGAGAACTCGACGAGTTGTTCATACAACTCGGCGAGTCGGATGAAGTTAGACTCGATGTTAGTATCGAAGAAGAACTCGTCGAGTCTTTGCCAAACTCGACGAGTAGAAGCGAGTAGAGGACTAGAATGGATGAAAGGAACTCGGCGAGTTGGTGGCCCAACTCGGCGAGTCCGGTCAACTGGAAGTTGACTTGACCAGGGGTAAATAGTTATTTTACCCTGAGATTAGTTATCAGTATTTGATTTAGTGTTTATGGGATTTGTAGCCGGGGAGTTCCGGAGCAGCAGTCAGGCAGTTTCAGATTTAGCATCTCGGCAGCCAGCGTTACAAGGTGAGTTTTCCTTCCAGTAGGAACGGGTCTACGGCTATAATGCCGACCCGTTTAGTTAGCAGTAGTTCCGGACTTCGGTCTGATGCAGTAGTTTAGTGTGCTTGATGTCTTTGTGATTCGAGCATGTTTTTGTGTTATGTGTTCCGGACTTCGGTCCGATGCAGTATACAGTATGTGTGTTTATGCTAGTAGTTATGATTATGTTATGCTATGTTCAGTCAGTTCCGGACTTCGGTCCGATGCAGAGGGCAAGGCCCTGGTTAGTTCCGGACTTCGGTCCGATGCAGTTTCCGGACTTCGGTCCGATGCAGAGGGCAAGGCCCTGGTTAGTTCCGGACTTCGGTTCGATGCAGATTCCGGACTTCGGTCCGATGCAGTGGGCAAGGCCCAGTAGTTGCTTTATATGTTATTGTATGGTATGTGGTAGTTTGGGGGAGCTCACTAAGCTTTGTGCTTACAGTTTCAGTTTTTGGTTTCATGTACTTCCGCTAGTAAGGGGAAGAGCTTGGGATGATGGTATGGCACACACCACAGCTTCAGTTTATCCTGGGAGTTTTATTCAGATATTTTGATATGTTTTGACATCAGTTGATTTGATAAACTTATTATGACATTTTGGGACACATGATCCATGGATTTATCTTTTAATATTTGATATGATGATTTAGTAAAGTTTTCAAACAAAAATTTTTGGGTTGTATTTTTGGGATGTTACAAGTTGGTATCAGAGCCTTGGTTTGAGGGATTCAGCCACACTTTCGGGTATCACTGGACTCAAACTAAGGAAATGGTGAAAGATTTTCAAAAGAAAAATGTTTTTGAAAGAATTTTTGAAAAAGAAACTTAAAAAGAAAAGAGTTTTGAGAAAAGGAAAAGGGTGTGGTGCATGCGATCAGCCGAGCTCAAGTAAGTACTCCCAAATTACCCATACAAGTTTATGTTATAATTATCAGTTCCAGTTTCAGTAGAACAGCATGCTAGAATAGGACTAAGGATCTAGGAGGATGCCTTATGTGCCTGTTATATGTGTTTCAGCTTATTGAGAATTGCATGCTAGTATTGAGTAGACAGCAGTAGGATAGCCTGTTTAGGTTATGCCTGATAGTATGAGCTTAGCATTGTATGCTAGTACAGTTTCTCGTTATGAGGATAGAAGTGCTTGAGTAGTTTCCTGTGTCCGAATGCTGCTTGCTTCGTGATTTGTAGGACTCAGAGTGATGGGAGTTAGCCATTAGGTGAATACGTCACGTCACATGTGATCAGGGTTGAATAATCTCAGAGTGATGGATTTGGCCCTATTACGCAGCTCTTTTCTGAGTCTAACCGTTGTAGGGACGAGTCTTTTACTCGAAG